GACGCGGATTATACGAAAACGGAAATGACGCAGGTCATCTGTCACGATTTGAACGAGGTTTGTGTCAGTTGTCCGGTTCAATTTTGGTGACTTTCGAGCGCGCTTTTTTGACCGAATCATAGCTTTTTTCATAGGTTTATTTCTAGAGATCTCTCTTTTCCAGGTCTGGGATGACATTAGCGAATTCCTGGACCAAGAAAATTTTCGCTGCGGTGAGGTCAGCCGACTGGCATTTTCTCCACTCGAAACGCCGACAGTCGCAATGCTCACAAGAGCCCCACCACGAGTACACGATCAACCCGTCCGAGAACCCCCGATAACCCTGGCCATGCCCCCGCCGACCCTGGCCTGTGCCAGCTTTACCCCCTGTGCTCCGCTGCCCCCACCACCTCGACCTTTTCCTGCTCCCACATGTGCCCTAGCCTCTGTTGGGCAACCCCAACCCCCCATTTCGACTTGTTCCATGCTACCAACCACATCAGCTGATTCTACTACTACTGTGACCTCAATGCCAGCCTATTATACTCCCACACAGCCACTACCGGCCCTACAACCACCACTGCCTATTAAGGAAGAATCTCCACCATCCAGTCCCGAGCTACCGTATACTAGTGCCGACTCAGCTACATATTCCGCAAGCCCACTGGCGAATAGTTTGCCAGATTTGAATCTGCCAAATACAAGGATTCGTAAATCAAGCAGGTGAGTCTTGAAGTTTCCATGATTATTGCCTATTCTTTTTTCGACGGTCCAATCTCGTCAAAAAGTAGAAAATACTAGAGCAGAGAAATTTTTTCCAAAGCTACAACGCCTTATCCGTAAAGCCTCTTTTCCGCTATCTCTCTTCAGTTCTGAATATTTTCTTTCCATATTTTCAAATAATAATTACTTTTGAATTTTTTATCCAATTTTTGTGCGAAATTCATAAATTTTCTTCTAAACATTTTCTGAAACTTGACAGCCTCAGAAAAGCAAAAATCTGTACTTCTTGCGCTTAAATTTTTGAAAAGGTGGTCTCACAGGGGTATTTTTGCTGAGTATTTGCAGCGGTTTTCTTGCGTTGTACCCTCTTTTTATAGCTTCATCCTTCACTTTGTAAATCGAAAAAGTACCCTCTTTTCCTCTTTCCCTCCCCCCCCCCC